AACAGATTTTTGTAAAGGATGATTCTGGTGTTCACAAAATCTTTTCAAACAAATAGGGCCATTTTTATTTAAATGCCAAAATAGCCTGGTTTATATTATGGAAAAACCGGTCTATGAGATATAATTTCTTATACATCTTTTTTCAGTTAGAGAAAAGAGCCAAAAAGAAACCCCTGTACTTTCTGTTTGCTCGCTTGCTTTTCCCATCTTTGAAGCATATTAACAACCCCCACTCAAATTTCTGAGGCTGGGTAGATAAAATTGGCCATACTGGTAAAGGTTAAAATGGTTAAGGGTTATAATATATATGCAGGCATTCGTAACCTAACAATTTTCATCGAGAAACACATCACAGCCCGGCCGGTGTGGCTCAGTGGTTGAGTGCCATCCTCTGAACCAAGAGGTCACTGGTTGCGGGCTCGATCCCCAGTCGGGGGCGTGCAGGAGGCAGCCAATCAATGGGTCTCTGACGATTGATGTTTCTATCTCTCTCTCCCTCTCCCTTTCTCTCTCTAAAATCAATAAAAACAAATAAAAAAAAAGAAACACATCACAAATTCTCCTAAGCTCTAAATCATGGCAAATACAACACTGTCACTAGAATGCGGTAGCTCAACGTCGGGAATGTTCTTCAGAGCAACGCACTTTCCCAAGATGTTTTAAGCGACGGGTCAGTCTCTGCATGAGAACAGCTGGGAGTAAACGGGGGGAGACGCCGCTGTGGTTGGAAACGGGGAAACACACGCAGCACCCAGACAGCGGCTCTGGAGGATCCCCGGGAGCCGGCAGGTGGCTGTCTCCAGGACAGGGCACAGGACCCCGAGGGCCCGCAGTGGGAGGAGGCCTCGCCTACTGTAGATGCTTCTGGAGACTCCGAATTGTCTATCAGAACTATTTTAGGAAACCAGGCACACGCATCCTCACAGAAGAGTCGAGCTCATCATGGATAAGGGGAGGGGAAAAAATTAAGTTAGGGTTTCCCAAAAGAATGTCAGTTAGTAAGAAAAGCCACCGCCTCCTAAGCCACATGTTGTTTTCAATTACTTCCTCTGAAATTGCCGGTCCACCCAGAAGGGCTGTGGCAGAGAGATGCAAGCAAAACGGAGCCGGGTCTCTCTCTCTCTCTCCTTCTCCCTCTCCCTCTCCCCCCTTTATCTCCAGAGCCCTCCTAGCTCCCCAGGTCCCTCCTCCCACCTTATCTCACAGCAAGAAGAAGGAGCCGCTGGAGCCTGAGCCCTGCAACTTCTCACCACTGTGTGATCTTGAAAAACAAGATCCCCTCCCTAAACATCTGTTTGCCTGGTCTGTTCAATCAGAATGATAAGCATCGCCACAGCAGGGCTGAAGCCAGCAACGTCCATGAATATCTAAAGACTGGGGCCTGTGTACATCAAAACAGCCTCTAAATCCAGTCACAGGGTGCTTAGGATGACTGACAGGGCCTGGCTGTAAGCAGGTCGCTCCTTATTTGGGATGCGAAACCTGGGGCAAACTGCGCCCATAAATACCACCAAGAATTTGGTTGTGACTAAAGGAAAGGAAAACAGAAGTTGAGGGACAAGCCGCTCTTTTGTTTGGGCATCTCTTTTGTTTGGGCATCGGCTGCAACTGCCAAAAGAAGTTTGGTTAGAAACAGACAGATTGGCACATGCACAGCTAACTCAACCTTTCCATCCTCAACAATAAGACAATTTACTTTGTCCACAAAGAGAACGTTATCATTGTTTTTAGCGTGTGTTTTTTAAATGCTCGTTCCTGTATATGGCGAGTGGCTGGCTCCCTTCAACACAGCCGCATAGCAATATTCTGCAAGGCACGGTCATCTTCCAAGTCATTCTCAAGGCAGCACCGAGAAGAGGCCCTTTATTCTTGGCCTTGTACTGTGCGGAAGGCAAGCTGTGATTAATAAGGCTCCGTCTTTTGCCATTATACATAGTTCCCTCTTACTTAGGTCAGAGCTTGGTCCATAGAAATGAGCCTGGCCCCCTTAAACTTTTCCATGCATGTCTTGCTGTCTAAATCTTACTTATCAGACCCGAGGACGTTTGTCCTAATTTTGGAAATCGGTGTGCAAATATTTACATTATATCTCTTTCCTTTCATTTTCTGAGACATCAGAGGGTATTTTTTAAATCAAATATAAAAGTTAAACTATTTAAAAATGCAACCCATGGGACCACAACTCAGAAAAGCAAGCCCCAGCACAGAGAAATCAAAGACAAGAGAAGATTGTGCAAAATAAACCCCAGTTGACAAGTGAAAGACTATTTTCTTATGTCTTTCATCAGAGTATTGCAGACAATTAATAGTTTACACTCTACATGGAGAAGATGGAATTTCACCTATGAATGTTTGAAACACACCTATTTGTTTATGATCCATGAGTAACAAACATATATGCAGATAACAAATACATTATTGTTTGGGAAAGAACCCCAAATTAAAGGGCAATTCTCAGTCCAAGTAAATACAGAAAAGCTGCCAAAAATGCCTGTTTGACTCTCAATGATCTCATTTGTTTTCATCAAGCAATATTGAGTGTTTTCAAATTAGGTTAATCTTTTTCGGAGTTGTTGGGTAGTTGGATAAAAATCCATAGTCGTTATCAGCATGAAATATTTGAAAAGCACACTGAAACCCTTGCTTGAGAAAAGTTTGTTATAATTTACTTACTTTTTTTTTTAAAGAATATTCTGGCTTCTTAAAAGTTAAGAACAATGGGTAAAGCAGAGCCATGCCATAAACATCCAGCCTGTGGGTTAGTAAGTACTTGTTGAATGAATGAATGATGAACGAATGAATGAATCACATGAGCAACTGGAAGCATATGCACACAAATGCATCTGCACACACGCACACACACACAACCTTAAGAATCCTCTTGGAAACATGAGGTTTCATATCTCTGTCCTCAAACTGAATTGCCTTTTCACTATCAACATCTCTTTCCGAGCAAAATAAGTAGAAATCGTGACAGAATTCTGTTCCTCATTTTTGTCTGACCCCTCTACCCTCCCCCAAACAATCAACAGCTTACAAACAAAAACTTATTCCAGATTCATTTTAATTCAAGAGCTCTGGAGGGAAGCCCAGGAACTGGTATTTTAACAAGTTCCCTAGGTGATTATAAGTGGCAGGCGGTGCCTAAGAACTATTTTGTGCCTTTGTGTGCACAATTTTCCACCCCCGGAGCCTTCCCCCGAACAGCCCGCTTTGGGCGTGATTAACTCCTCTTGCTCATGGAAGCGAGTTGCCTCTGTAAGTCTCCCCAGCACACTCCCAACCCCTTGCCCACAGCTGTCCTCCTGCCCTTTCCCTGCTTCCCCAGAGAACCTCCCCCACGGGTGGTATTTCTTCAGCCCCTCCGGTAGCGCAATGTCCTTGAAGGCATGGGCATCCTTTTGGTTGACCTTGAGGTTGATGATTTAACTTCTCTGGGCCCTCAGTTTTCTCATACGTCAAATGAGAAAGATAGAAATCGCCAGCTGTTGCGAGAACTAAGGGACGACCATAAGCCAACTAACCCAGTAGCCAGCACTGTGGGAAAAGCAGTCCCCTGGATTGCTATGAAGATAACCGGCGGGGGTAAAGGTCTTAAAATCAACCAGACCATTCACGCCTCACAACCCACAGGGCCTGGGTCCTTCACGACGAGCGATGTCCTCACTCCCCTCGAATGTAGAGTCTCGGGGGGGACAGAAGTAACCTGGTACTAGGTCAAGGACTCTCAGTGTTCCCCACCCAGGCCACACATTAAATCTGTCTCTAAAAGACAGAGGCCTCGACCTCTCCCCAGAACAAGTGAATCCAAATCTCAGGGAACAGGTTCATATTGCTTCTCGCTACATGGCCACCTTCTCATGTGTCTCTGTGTGTCTGTTTTCTGTTCTTCAAAGAAAGACACCAGTCATACAGCACTGGATTTGGGGCCACCTTAACCCAGCAGGNAATATTGCTTCTTGCTACATGGCCACCTTCTCATGTCTCTCTGTGTGTCTGTTTTCTGTTCTTCAAAGAAAGACACCAGTCACACAGCACTGGATTTGGGGCCACCTTAACCCAGCAGGGTGTTATCTTAATCAATTACATCTCCAAAGAGTCTATTTCCAAATGGGGCAATTTCTGTGGTTCCTAGTGGACGTGAACTTGTGGGACACACTCTGCAAACCGGGACTGTTGGATTAGGAGTCGGTAATAGGACTCCAGAGCGCACAACCTGAGCCACTGTAGCTGCCAGGGACCCCACTCCGCTCAGCACTGTTTACACTAACATACGCCAGGCGGGACCAGAGCAGGGCCCAGGTCCTGCCCTCACAGAGCAGAGGACACGCCACTGAAGCCTGTGTGTGAACGTCCACCTGCCATGGACACCTAGAGGGAAAGTGACGATCTGAGGGCTGGGGAACCCGGAGCACTGGCAACACCTGAACGGTAGGAGGAGAGGCCTGAATGGGGGCCGAGAGGCAAGACTGGGAGGAGCAGCGTGTCAGAAAGGGACACGAGCGCCGGGCCATCGGAAATGAGGCTGGGGTAAGGGTCTGCTAGAGATGCTTCAAAGTCTTAAATCTCATTTGGAAGGAAAGAAAAAACTGACTAGGGGCCAAAATGATAAAATTCTGGCTTCAAGACTCTGGCTGAGGTGGGCAGGGCGAGGGAGAAGCCTGGGGAAAACTGAGCGTTGACATTTCTCACAAAAGATGCCTGTGTGCATGTGTGCACGTGTACCGACACGCACAGACATCGTGGTGACATCACTGCGACGTTGTAACAACCTGCCTTAGAAATAAACCCAACCGGCAGATGCTTGCCACACCTTCAGGCCTCCACTAGGGGAGTCCCCTTACCACCCACCAGCCCCCCGACACACACACGCACACACCAGCTTCCCTCCAACCCCCATGCGCACCCAGCCAAGGGCTGAGCGAAGAGAAAGGTGAGAGAAAGAAACAGAAACGTCTGCAGCACCAGCCAGAAAAGGAGGCGGCCAAGACATCCATCACCTTTGCACCGCTCGCAGCAGGCTCCCCTCTGCTTGACAGCCAGGGCGCAGTCTCTGGACAGCACGGGGCACTTCTCCCTCTTGCAGGTCACCTCCTTGTTCTGGGCAAAAAAGAGATGAGAGACGTTGGAAATCAACTTCCAGCAGGATCCCCAGAATCCTAGCACACGGCTGAGGTGCTCCTAGCCTCCCTCTCGCCTTCATCTTGGCGAGAAAATTCTGTGATAGCAAGTAGGATTTTGCTCTCTCTGAAGCAGATATACCCACCCGGGAACGCAGAACGTTTTTAGATTCAGTGCAGGCTAAAAAGAAGGGCATGAAAAGTCCCTTCTTTACGAGCCAACATCACCTCGATAACCGCCTGAGAGAGGGGCTCCCTCCCGCCCTGCTCTAAGGTTTCCTTTCAGGGCGCACTATAGAAAGCATAATATTTGCGTAAATCAGACTTTGCCCATTGGGCTACCTGGGCCAGGACTGCATCGTGAGAACAAAAATATTTGCACACGGCCGTCCAACAATCCCTAATAGTGGAGTGCATTAAAATGCAGCGATCTAAAGTTCCAACTCAAATAATGACAAAGTCGAGCATTGAATCGGCTCAGTAAGAGGAAAAAAAATACTCCTCGTGCCAAGCGGAGACACAGTCGCCAGTGTTCCGCAGCCGTGGGACAGCTGCGTTGTATTAGCGCGGATGCTAATGAGAGCGGGGCGCACATCTGCACCTCCGTCTAATCCTGGAAGGTTAGCTGCTGCAGTGACTCAGAGAAGACCCAACAGGATGCGTGTGCCTGTCTGGAGACGGAATGCACAGGAACCCAAAGGACCCCATCACAGAACGCCAACGAGACTGGGGTTTGTTAACAAGCGTCCCGTAAATGCTGAGCGGGGCTTCCATTCTTACCCAGGCCCTGCGAGGCAAGCGTCGCCGCTGTCCCCTGTTTACAAACAAAAGAACTGCTGCTCAGGGAAGGTACAGGACTTTTCCAAGGCTATACGGTTTCACAGCAGAGGAGGTGGACTTCAAGTGGGACTCATACACGTGTGCTGGCCCAGGCCCGACCCTGAGCTGAGGCTGGTTCTAGCACCTTCGCTGCCTGATTGGGGGCAGATCGGAGAGGAGGGACTGACCAGCTCTCTCACCTTGCGATGAACCTGGAATAGGCGCAGGAGAAAGTCTAACTCAGCTCTGACAATGACCTGGGGAGAGTCACAAGTGGACCCAGTATGCTTCAATGTCATTTCTGGTCCAAAACCCAGGAGGCGCGCACGTGTGCGTGTGTGTGTGTGTGTGTGTGCGTGTGTGTGTGTGTGTGCTGGGAGCTGGGGATCCAAGTCAAGCCAGAACACCAAACACCAGCCCTGAAGCAGTTCTAAGATCAAGCACATCAACTTCTGCGCCGCCCTCATAGTCCTCAGGAGTCCACCGCCCCCGAGAAGCTCCCAGGGTCTAATGCTACAAGGAATCCAGACGGCCATCTCCTCCCCTTGCTGTGGCGGGACCCGCACTCCCTCCAGAGTGAGGTGTATGGAGCCCGGGCCTCGCCATCCCAGCAGCTCCGTCTCTGCAGTCATGTTATTTCACCAACTTCTTGGCTTTGCAAGGCCACCCAGAGAGAGGGCACCCACCCTCGGCTGCCTGTAGCGACTCCCGCGGGGCCGGTGGTGCAGACCGTTTGGGTTTTTATTTATTAGTTTTCAGCGTATGATTTTTGGTGGTTGACCTTTAAGTAAATCCAGTTTCCTTTTTCTATCCTCTGGGTGTCCATTACGAGGTCAGGGCCCTCATGGGACTAGTCTCATTAACTCCTAACATCCTGTGAAGCCATGGTCCCCACACTGGACTCCATATCAGAATCTGAGCAGTTCTTAACTAGGACCAGCTCTGCCACCCACCCCTGCAGCTCAGGTCTGAGTTTTCTGAGGACCAGACCCAGATGGTTTTCCAAGCTCCCATATCATTGCAATGAGCAGCCAGAGCTGACAGCCATGGCTATAGAATGTCCCTGTGGCCAGTGAGGCGGAGACGGCTCAGAATGTCCAGTCCCATGGACAACAGCTGAGCTACAGTCTGAACCAGGTGTCCTGCCTCCAAGCCCCCAAAACTCTTACCACGCCCTCTCCTCTTCATAAGGGAGGTGGCATCGAGACACTGTAAGTCATGGCCCTTTAGCTTATTTTCATAATTCTCCTTATATTACAAATGTAACATAGTTATGGTCACAGTGCAAATTAAAGCATATTTTAAAATGTAATAGTGGCCCAGCCCGTGTGGCTCAGCGGTTGAGGGTCAACCTAGGATCCAGGAGATCAAGGTTCGATTCCCGGTCAGGGCACATGCCTGGGTTGCGGGCTCGATCCCCTGTGGGGGGCGTGCAGGAGGTGGCCAATCAATGACTATCATCATTGTTGTTTCTATCTCTCTCTCCCTCTCCCTTCCTCTCTGAAATCAATAAAAACATATTTTTTTTAAATGTCATAGTGTCCTTGTGGCCCCACCTAAGGAACCCAGAACAGTGATTGGGTGTGAATGCTGCTGCTCGGTTCCTGAGGCCACAGTCTGACACCCACTCCCTCCACCCCCCGCGGCTGCAAGGTGAACACCCTCCAGAGCAGAGTGTCTCCCACCCCAGCCTCATGCAAACCTGGCTCAGCCTTAGGGAAGGACCACGACCCAAGCGCACCTCCTCTGAAGGGGAGACTAGCACAGAGAATTCACAGCCCCCAGGGCGGTCAGTGTGGGTGCGAAGTCTCCATTCGGGGCTTGATAACAGGAAGAGCACACGCTCTTAAATACAGGAACTCTTTGCTCAGTTAGAACCAGAGCAGGATCAGGATCCATAATTCATAATAAATAGCTTGTAATTACGGTCCAGCACCAAAGTGATTCCAACCAGATGGTTTGTAGGTTCACATCTGGAATTTTTTTGTACACACACAGGGAACAAACCTAAACCTTAGCTGTAGGTTGGGGGGGG